TAAAGGGCTCTGGGAATGTCTGTGATCCTTTGTGTGGAGAGTATGCTAATGTGCCAGTTTTCAATTTAAAATGAATAAAAGATTACAATGCAGTAGACAAAGCTGAGAGCCTTTTTTTTTTTTTTTTAACAGTGATAAAAACAGATCTCATTATACACAGAATGTTTCTTGCAATCCTCAGGGAAATTACAAATTAACTAGTTGAAGGCACTTTGAAAAAAGCAATTTTTCAAAAGTCATCAGAATGATCAGTTTATACCCCATGATTTATTTAAATTGATTTCTCTAACTGAAGGCTGCTCATTTCCTAACTGCAATCAACACAGTTTCCACCTGGCCAACATCTGTTTCCAAATCCCTTATTTGAAAATCTTGGGATTCTATTTAAAATCTGAGAAAAACAGGGGTGCCTGGGTAGCTTAGTCATTTGAGCATCCAACTCTTGATTTCAGCTCAGGTCATGATGATGGAGCCCCACGCACGCTGGGCCTACGTGACATATTTCCATTCGTTCATTTTCTTTCCCTCTCTCTCTCTCTTTCTGTCTCTCGCCCCCTTCCCTCCCTCCCTCCCTCTGCAGCCTCTTTCTCAAAAAACAAAAACAAAAAAATTTTTGAGAAGAGCAGAAAGAGGGAGAGAAACAGATTTTTCAGTTTTGAAACAAGAAAACGTGTGGAACAACTTCTTGCCCTTATACAAAAGTTAGAGAAAAGTGATCAATGTTGCAGAGTTAAGTACGGCTCTTACACTTCTTTTCTGCCCCCAACAAAGGCTCTAGGTAGAAAAAAGATATTTTCAGTATCGTTCCATCATTTCAAAAGTGACTTTCAGACGAAGGTATCTCCTCTGGCACAGGCACCGTGCGCTCCCACAGCAGGAGAACCTCACGCCACCTTGAGCAAGTCATCTCCACACCCACACAGGTATCTACTGGGCACCAAGCCAGGGCCGCACAAAGGGGGCTCCGCAGACCAGCACCAGGCTACCGACTGTTTGCTACTGGTCTGCTGCAAGACGAGGATAAAAACACAGAGTAAACACACAGAGACATTTACGGCGATCTGACGTTGCCCCTTCATCAGAAACACATCCTGCTCATCAGTTCAGCTCAAACTATGGTGGCAGGGTCGCCCGCGCCCCAAGCTGTGAACCCGACCTGCGCAGTGGAATACACCTCCATCCACGATGGATGGCAAAGAACAAACAACAACAAAAAAGCGGTCCTTCACCTCAGAAAGCCTGTTGTAAGCCAGGGGTCGGCACGCTTTTTCTGTAAAGGGCCAGATGGTAAATATTTCAGGCTTTGTGGAACATCCATGATCTCTATCTCGTATTTGTTTTTTTCCTTTTGCTGTACAGTTGCCAGGGGAATGGAAGAAAAAAGTCACATTTAACAAGGGTGCTACCCTTCTAAGACAACAGTCATAGACAGGGAACTGCAGAAAGGTCAGCTGAGACTACTTCTGGCTACGTGAGCAAACATCTCATCCAAGTAAGTGCCCTTTGATAGGAGAGATTAGTGTGCCATCACCTTGTCTGAAAAAAATACCAGCATAGAGTCTCTTTTATCCTATACTATGACAGATTGAAAACAAGCAGTTCCTTAACTAATAAATAGGCTTTACTTTTGCCTAGAACGAAAGAAACATGATAGTGACAACACTGCCATAAAACATGAGCCCTTGGGTTTTTCGAATCCGTTTTATGGAAATGATTTTTATCAATAACCATCACCAATCAAAACAAAATAATACAAAAGCAAAGTTCCCACAGATCCGACTTGACGATTAAAAACCCTCACAGCCAACTTATCTTCAGGCACCCTGTCACTCTTTCACTCGAGAGCCCTCAGTGAGTAGCCTCCCCAGGCCAGGCCAGGCATGGTGCCACGTAATGGGCTCGGGTGGTGCGACGGCAGCCCTCTGAGAGCATGTGGGTTACACGGGCCATGACGGTGAGCAGGGGACCCACACAGAAAGGAGCCACCAGCACGGCCTGCGGGAGCCAGGGAGTCTCTGGAGAGCAAGCAGCATCCTAACTGGGGCTGGAAGGATAAATCAGTTTGCTTGCCAAAGGAGGGCAGGGAGGAGGGACAGAAGATGTAGGGTTCCGTGAAAGACGTTCTGGGCAGAGAAGTCAGCGAGCATTAAGGCATGAGGGCTTCAAAGCACAAGGCCTCTTCAGAACACAGACGGAGTCACGTATGGTCAGAGCAGAGATCCACAGGGACCGACCAAGAGGCAAAGGCCGCTGTCCAATCACGAGCCTTGAATGCCATGCTACGAAGCTCTGTTTTGGTAAGACATGGGGAGCAAGAGAGTGGTAAAATTTCATGTATGTTTTGGGCAATGTCTTCTGGGACAAGGTGAGGAAAGAACTAGAAGGAGGCTGGACTACACTGTGAGGGTCACACAGTTATTTCCCTCAAGGTCTTTTGCTCAAAGTAACTGGCACAGGGCAGCTATCCGGCAGGAGACGAGGCTGTACTTGACTTGTGGAAATGAGAACAACTCCCATCTGACTGACGTTAATTGGTCAAAACCTCCGCTGAGAACCAAGAACTGAGGCGGCGGCAGCAAAAGCCCGTTCTCACTTGACCCGGGGTGCCTGTTGAGTCTCAAGTGCCGGGGTCCGCTTGGCTGGGGAAGCAGAAACGGGCGCCTCTCCGGCTGGTGGCTGGGAGGCAGAGTGACCGCCACCCGGTGTGGACGGTAAGTCACACGCGGCCAGAGCCCACTCTTCTTCTTCAGGGCCGGCTCTGGGCACCCCTCCTCCCACACCCCTCCCCAAGCCTGGACTGCCTGCCTTCTCTGTCGTCCCTTTCTGGGATCCAACGCAAAGCCTGCTGAGAAATCCGCCACGTTGCCCCGGTGTTCAAACCTTGCTGCGGCTGTGGGGGGCGGGGCAAGTCACCCAGATTCCCCGGAGCCTCAATTTCCTCTACAAAACCACATGCTCATACTTAATATTAACAGGGAGGATCAAATGTCGGGGATCAGATGAAATAAGGTGACACACTGGTAAAGACGCGGTAAACGCTTCACCGGAGGTAACAGTCCAAATGAACACATGCGAACGCTTGCCCTACAGACACCGATGCATTTTGTTCTCACAACCCACCAACGTAGGTATTCTGAATTTGTCCACTTCACGAGTGAGGGAACGAAGGCATAGAGAAGTCAAGCAATCGTCCCAAAGTCACACAGCTGGTAAGTGGCAGAGGGGGGACAGGGACACAGGCTGCCTGGCGTAAGGTCTGAGCTCTGAGGCACGACGCTGTGCTACTCGATGGCACCGTTTCCCCTTCTGAACTTGCTAATTAGTTATGAGACATCTTGATGAAACTGGCTACCTTTTCGTGTTTCCATAGCAACCAGCCTGAGTCTTCGCTCCTTGAGGGCAGACTCTCTCTCTCTCTCTCTCTCTCTCTCTCTCTCTCCTTGCCTCTCCTCATTGCCTTGCGTAATAAACAAGTAATTATTTGCCGACAGGTAACACATTAACGTATCCACTTAGTATCCCCTGCAAATGCTTCCACTTGTTGGCATTTACAATTTCAAATGCGTCTCACCAGCGTGGGGACAAGTATCCGTGCAGGCCCGAGACTGCTCTCTGGAAAGACCTGTGCACAGGCTCAGCCCTGGGCTGGTGTCTGGGAACTGGGACTTTGGGAGGGTTCCCGCAACCCTAACTGCTAAGAGTGGCTCCCTGTGCTTGAACCGTTGTGCAAACAGTGTGGTTCATGCGGAACACGGGCTTTCCTTCTGGGAGTCTGGAATTTTGGTAAGTGCCAAGCAGAAAGCGCCTTTGTGAGCAGCCCCCCAGTAAAATCCCTGGGCCAGTGAGCTTCTAATAAGCTTCCCCAGTGGCCAGTTCACACGAGTGGTCACAAGTCACATCCTGTGTGACTCCACTGGAGGGGACCCTTAGAAGCCTGCTCCTGGCTTCCTCTGCACCTCGCCTGGGTGCCCTTTCCCTTTGCCATCTGCTCCGTGCCCTCTCACCGCAGCAGATCTCGGCCCTGAGTCCCACAGGCCCTGCTAGTGCAGCACCGAACCGGGGCTGGCGCTGGGGGTCTCGACACAATCGGAATTAAGAAAAGCTGCCGCCCAATAGTACGTACTGTTACCTTCTGAAAGAACACCCTCCAGTCTTCTCAAGACCAGTTCAGAAGTGGTCAAGAGTTGAGGCCCGGACCTTCACTCCTCGCTCATTTAAGAACCCTGTCTCAGGCTGGGCAGCTGGAGGGGAAGCAGTTTTGAGTCCCTGTGCCCCACAAGCCGGCACGTGCTCCTCCAGGGAGGACAGCTCGGGGGACAGACACGTGCCACGGGAGATACCGAAGCGTGCCTCTGCTGCTTCCTGGCTGTGTGGCCTTGGGCAAGTCATTTAACCTGCTGGGGCTCTAATGTCCTCACCTGCCAAAGAGGGTTCGTGACAGCGCCCGGCACCGAGCGGGTGCCTTGTTAGAAGGGAGGTGCGTGCCGCGGGTGAGCTGG